CTTCACGCGCGACGCCCACGCCGTCTGGAGCACGAGCGGCGCGCCGCAGTAGCGGTAGTGGGCGTGGCGCGGGCAGCAGTGCGGAAAACATCTAATGGAGTGCACCACGGGTCCGCGGACTACGTCGTTGGTCGTACCGCAGCACCTAGCAGCAGCAGCAGCATTGGGCGACGTCGTGGTGATGGACGGTACCTTGACTTTTTGGGCCTTTTGATACCTAATGGTGCAATGTGAGGGCTAAGATCGATGGGCCAAATGACGCACCGCGTGTAGTGAGGCTCAAAGACCGCGTCGTGCTCGCAGTACTTGACGTGGAAGGAGAAGTCGATCGCGGCCATCGACCCTCATTCACATCAACGGTCGACTTGAGCGTCTCGTTTTGGATTCTCAGATCGCGTGGTTTTAGATCATGCATGTATATATAGTACAAGACATATATAGTAATCTGGACGATGGCTAATCCAACGCACTTAACCTGCTTTGAGTGGCTCTATAAACACCCAACTATACGCATACTTAAACCAAGATATTATGAAATGTCGTTTTTGATGCATTTGCTCGGGCCGATGCTGCTAGCGTCTGCTCCGAGACCGGGCTTTGGAGGTACTCTCCATTGGCTTTTCCTCGGTCGCCTCCGGCAACCCAATCCGCTCAGCGCTCATGGATCCGGCGAAGTCGAGGGCGCGGACGACAAAGGTCTCTCGCTACCTCGACGCCAACCCGCGGGCGACCATGGCCGACGTCGCGCGCCTGGTGACGATCCACGAAGGCCTGTCGAAGGCCGACGTCGACGCGTGGACCGTCTTCACAACGACGCCACCGGAAGAGATCATCGACGCTGCTGTCGCGTTCAAGGAGCTGGGTGTCCTTGGCGACAAGGCGAAGAACTCGGATTTGGTCAAGCGCGAACTTTGGTTTCTCAGCAACGTCGGGGTCAAGACCTCAACGAAGGGCAAGAAGAAGCACTACAATGTCTCAGCCCTATCGATGACTTGCGTCATCTTGGCTCTGCCCGAAGAACACAAGGCTCGTTGCACATTGGTCGCGATCAAGATGGCCTTTCGCACGTTCTTGACGCGCCAGGAGAAGGAGAAGCGTCAAGCCGAGCCTACGATCGAGCACCCGACGAAGAAGCGGACCCAGTATGACGCCGTGTATGTCGTGTGCTCATGCTCTTTCTCGTAGATCCGAGCCGGCAGCTCCGCTCGAGTCGCCCGTGGCGAAGCGCATCAAGTACGATCTCCATGCATGTCGTACGGCTCCTTGACCTTTTCGCAGGACGAACCTCGCATCGACACCCCAAACGCCAACCAAGACCGAGATCAAGTAAAGCACGTTTTGTACATCCGATGCTCATGCTCTTTCTCATAGGGCCGAAGGCACGGAGGACGCGTTTATGTACTTGACGCCGCCCCACCCAACCAACCAGACGAAGTACACATCGTCTTTCGATGTCTAGTGTACATGCATATGTTCGTAGGACCAAGAAAAAGCCAGCGGCTTCGTCAACGATGTGCAAGGCGCCGCCGGTCCCCGTGACGCCGGAACCGACGCCAAAGAAGGTCGACCGCCCGAAATGGCCAACGCAGCGCTCGGTGGTGAGCAACTATACCACGTGGGCGTGTATCCATACTTGTTTTTCCAGACATTCATGCACGCGTCGCCTTACGTCGTCGACTTTCTCGAAGGCGAGCCGACCCTATGCCCGGTACGCTTGATGCTAGCGTTTCCATCGGCTCAAGGCACTGTATAGCAATCCGACGCCGACGCCGAGTACGACGCGGTCGTTGCAGGCTTGCGACACGTCGGCGCACGGAGCATGCTCCGCATGTTTCGTCTGATACGATTTGTGGTTCTAGCAAAGAGCGCACACGACAACGCGCCGTACGACGCCCGCTGGTGTCGACAAGTTCTGATGTATTTCGTAGCTGTCGCTGTGCGCCCGGTCGTGGCGACGCGCACAAGCCTCATACGTGCCGAGAAGGACGGGTGCACCGTAATGCACTTTTCCGGTCACGGTACGACCGATGCTGCGCTTCTATTCGAGTTTGACGACCTGTCGGGTGACTTGGTGTACGTCGAGCAACTTGCGAAGTTCTTTCAGTCGGCCCCGCCACGACTCGTCGTCCTCCTTGCGTGTCACTCGGAGAAGATGGGTACGTTCATTTGCACCTCTGTATGATTCGCTACTAAAGCTATTGCATGTCCTAGCTCCCGCGTTTCTGGCGGCCGGCGTGAAGCACGTCATCGCCGTGAGCTCGAACTGGGCCATGGCTGAAGACGCAGTGAACGTCTTTGCTCGGTAGGATTGCGTGGAACTCTCGATATGCATTCACTGCGCCTTGACTAGGTCGCTCTACACGATGCTTGGGCGCGGCTGCGGCATCGACGAAGGTTTTAACGTGGCGACGTCCGATGTCCGCCGTTCGAATATCCACGACGCAGAGAAGGCTCGCATCGCGACGATCAAAACTGGTGCCACTCAGCTCACTACAGGAAGCGGACCACTTTGTCCTCCTGCCGCGTGGCGCCGATCACTCGGCGGTCATCTTTCCCGAAGCGTTTGATGACTCGGACGTGTTGCCCGGGGACCCGTTCCCGCCTCTTCGTGCCGATTACCTCCCGAAAGAAGTCCGGGTGCGTCTACCTGTACTAGTTCCATTCTTTCTCATGACGATGGACTGCGTAGGAGTACAAGGAGCGCCAACTCGACGAGGGAGACGTTCGTTCAAAATCAAAGCGATGATTCCAGGAGGTCAGCTATTTGTGTGCGTAGATCTGCAGTCGTCTCGCAGGCCGCAAAGTCCATGTTGCATGGTTGCATGGACCAAGCAACGTGGGCAAGACGCAACTTGCGTGCAGCGCTGCCCGCGCGCTGCAGCTGACCCCTGTCTTTGCGCGCGGGGTCACATTCATCAGCGTTGAAGATATCGCTGAGACGTGCCCTGGCGTCGCAAACGACGCTGTCCTCGATGCGCTTAAGCTCCAAGTGGACGCTTGGCTCGCGGCAACCACCGACCGGTCTGTACGGAAGCAGCGGTGAGCAAATTTCTTACGATTCTTACGAGTAGGTCGTCGGAGTCCCAAGCCGCGACGCTGATCGTGCTAGATGGCGTCGACGCACTCGTCGCTTCGCGTGCATTTGTTACGTGGCTCGACAAGATTTGCCGCAGCAAGACGCCCGTGCACTTTTTAGTCACGTCCCGCGCCATCTCGTCGCACGTCGGCGCGTTCAAGCACCCGAGTGGCCTTAACCCCATCAAGATTGTGTGCCACACTACGCTGGCGTCGAACACGTCCTGCCGCCGCCGCATTGACCCGCGGTGAAGAACTAATCGGCGCACGATAAGCAACCAAATTCAGTGTACTTATAGGAGATTTTTTGTATGGATTCATTCATCGGTGGCGTTGGTCAAAGCATTAGCGCTCACGAGAAGAGCTATATGATCATACCGTAATATACTACTGTAGTATGAATCTGCATCTTTATTGCCCTTTATGAATCTGCATCATTGCCCTTGCTCACCAATTGCAACATGGTCGTTTGAAACATGTTTTAAACAGCCAACGATCGGCATAAAAAACCAAGTCGAAAAGAAACAAGCTCCCCAAGCTCCGAGCCAGTTCTTCTTCGCGTTCATTCCAGCTTTTGATCGATAAGATCAAGAGGACCTCCGACCTCCATGCGACGACGGCCGACCTCCATGCGACGATGGGGGGCAAGTCGTGCGACGCCCCCCATCGTCGCATGAAGGTCGGCCGTCGTCGCATGGAGTCGGAGGT